TGCCTCAGGGAAAGAGGTAGGTGGTTCATCATAGCCCTAGTTTGCATTTTATAGTTTGCTTATATGGAGAGCAGATCTTTGGGCAGCGTTCCAAAACACCAGCATCTGAATTATCTGTTTAAAATTATGAAAAATATCAAGTCATCCAATGTCAGGACTATTTTCAGTTTCCTGTCACTATATTCAACCTGAGCCCAAACACAATCTATTTAATAAACCATTTCTCCCTACCTGGCTAGCCCTAGAGATGAACAATTGTCACTAATCCAGGGAAGATTCCATTCAACGTGTATTCACTCATAGCCGGGTATGCCCTGGGTTCCATATGAGGTGAAGTATGTTACAGCAAAATACTTCTCCTTTCAAAACCAGAAATCATAATCATTAATAAACTTCTGATAAGGGTTTGTCCCACACTGTCAATTTATCTTTTGGAGGAAGATCAAAATGAATTAACCATAGAGAAGTGGAGCCAAACGGCACAGGCTCAAGATTTGACTGTGAGAACAAAACTTTTAATTAGGAGGTTTGAATTCTTCTCATGAGAACTGCAGGATTCCAAACCTTATCAACACTTGGGAAAATCCAGTGGATTTTTTTTTTTAATAACCCCATGTTCTTTGCTAACAGGAAACAGAAAAAGCCTGCTTTTTTTTTTTTTTTTAATTTGAAACTGGTTCTGTTGTAAATTAGGATGACACCACTAAACAGCTTCAGATATAAATTACTTTCAATGATTTTTTTCCCTTTCATCCAGAACCAGAGCTTGTATTTCCTGTTGATAAAAGAAAAAAAAAAAAAAAAAAAAAGGCACTGTGTTTACCAACCTCCCTGATCTAGCCAGTCCCTCTGGCCTCTGTCTTTCAGACGAATGTGGAGTTTGCTTGAATCTGAGGCAGTTTAGAAGCGAATCTCCAGACCACCCACTTTCAGGATCTATAAGATGGTGCTGGAGTTAGGCTGAGCTGAGGCACTAATGCAAGCTCATGGGTTAGACCAGAGGTTCTCTTGACTCCATCAGAAAAAGTATTTTGCAAATATCTTCTTGCTAGTGTCCTCCAGTGGAGGGGCTGACTCCAGGGCCCCTGGCTGCTGACACAGGTTGAATCAATCTACTTGCATGTGTGGAGGAGCCTCTTTTTAAGTTTCCTGGCTTCTTGACAGACACAAAATGTATTTAGGCATCTTCATTTTTTATAAAGTGGGATAATAATACCGAACATCCTTCCATCCATTACCTATTATGTCTTTCTACTAGGAAAACTGCCTTGAGGTCAGAGACGCTCCACATTTTCTGGTGAAGCACTAGTGCTGATTTTACCAAGTCCTGGAATCATAGTATAGTCAGTCTGGATCCTTGTTTTGAGTTCTTTTATTTGACTGATGTGGCAACCATGGTCTAGAGCGCTGTGAGGACTTTCCTAAAGTCATAGTGCTACTGCTTATTTATTTACTAATTTATTCATGCAAGAATTTTTTCACATCTGCTATATGCTGGGCATTGTGACAGAAAGAACCTCCATCCTAAAGGAGCTTACAGTGTGTTCTGGAAGATTGCTGATAAGAAAATAAACATTACAGCCAGGCACTGTGGCTCATGCCTATAATCCCAGTTCTTTGGAAGGCCAAGGTGGGAGGATTACCCGAGGTCAGGACTTCAAGACCAGCCTGGCCAACATGGTGAAACCCTGTCTCTATTAAAAATATAAAAATTAGCTGGGCATTGTGGCGGGCACCTGTAATCCCAGCTACTCAGGAGAATCGCTTGAACCTGGGAGGCAGAGGTTGCAGTGAGCCGAGATCGTGGCATTGCACTCCAGCCTGGGGAACAGAGCAAGACTCTGTGTCAAAAAAAAAAGTTACAAATGGTGATATATTTTGTGAATGAAACAGGTAGGCTGCTCTTATAGAGAAAGGACGGGTGAGAGGTCGGAAGGGCCTCTTGGGCAGAGTTGTCAGGATACGTCTTTGGGAGATGAGGTTTTAGGCAGTGGGAAGAGGAAACTGGGGGTGTGTTGAGAGTACATTGCTGATAGAAGGATGCAGGGGAGTTATGGTAAAGAAATGAAGATAACCACAGGCCTTGATTCTCTGGCAGAAATCCTCTCCAGATTTCAAGTGAAACTAGATCTTGAATGACCAGTGAGGTTTATTAGTAGATGTCATTCTAAACTGCTCTTTTTTCTTTCATCTATCACAGTGGAAATAACATAAAGACTACGCCAAGTGAGGTTTTAGATAAAAAATTTATTCCGTTACATTCTGATATAGAGAAGAGACGATGTTTACACCACCAGCTCGTTGGGTTCTAATAGAGATAAATAAGCCCTGAGTACAAGATATGCACAAGGATAACTCAACACAGTCCAACTCCTGATTGCCCCTCCTCAACTAGAAATGGACTTGCCTTTGGCTGGGTGCGGTGGCTCACACCAGTAATTCCAGCACTTTCGGAGACCTAGGCAGGTGGATTGCTTGAGGTCAGGAGTTTGAGACCAGCCTAGCCAATGTGGGAAAACCCCATCTCTACTAAAAATACAAAAATTAGCTGGATGAGGTGGCGCGTGCCTGTAATCCCAGCTACTCAGGAGGTTGAGGCATGAGAACTGCTTGAACCCGGGAGGCAGAGGCTGCAGTGAGCTGAGAACGTGCCACTGCACTCCAGCATGGGTGACAGAGTGAGACTCTGTCTCAAAAAAAAAAAAAAAAAACCCCCAAAAAACCACACACACACACACACACACACACACAAAAACAAAAACAGAAATGGACTTGCCTTCCATCTGGCTCTGGGTCTCCCCAGTGGCACTTAGGACAATCTAGTTTTTTCGTATCCATCTGCCCTCTATGGTGTCTTGTAAGTTCCTTGAGAGCAGGGATGAGTTGAACTCATCCACCAGCAAACCCAACACCCAGCATATTGCCATGTTCATGAAGACTGCTCAGTGAATGGTTGAATGGTTGATATAGAAATACTTAATCTTTAGGAAGATGGGATGCTGGAAAAACAGGGCCATTTTTCCCTTTTATGGCTTTTGCACAGGGCTTGTTATAGGGAGCCCATAATTATTACTGTTATTACCAATAACTGAAAAAAGGCTATTATAGGATCCTTGCTTAGTTCCTTTGATGAGGCCATTGGCTCAGTGACAAGAATATTACTGAGGATGGAGAAACAAACATTGAGCTGTTTAGCAGAACTTGCAGCAGAGCGATCATTGCATCATTCTGCTGAGATGTGAAGTAATGTCTGAGCCTTCAGTTCCCAGTGTTGGGCAGCTCGATCTGTGCTCCCAGTTCGGACAGCAACATAAACCCTGTATCCTGTCTCCTGACCCTTGCTCTAGAGGCTCCAGGCCAGTCCCACAAGAGGCAGCTTGGCAGCCAGGCCCATCAGGAAGTACATGCAGCCCTAGGAGGGTCTCACAAGTACATATCAACACTGTGTTTGCCATGGAAAGTTTGGAGGAAAGACTGTCACCACTCAGTGAAATCCTTTCTTCTAATTCTCCGCTCCTGTCCTGCTTGCAAGTAAAGGAGAACAGCACAAGGAAATTGAGAACTGCATTGTTCTGGTGCCATCTACCCAAATGAAAAACAATATAAATATTTCACACAAATCCCAGGTCAAATCCCTGTATATACCAAAGCAGAGAAATTTCTCTGAAATGATGGTTGTGGATAGTAGTACAAATGATGAGAGAAGTTAGGAGTAGAACCCAGAGCCAGTCTGTCCCTGAGTGATGGGTACCGGGGGAGATCCCTCCTACTGTATTACCGTTCTGCAGTCACACTACTTCCTTATTAGGAAAACGCTTTCTCAGTGGGAGGCAAAAGGTTTAAATGCTCCAGAATCTGAGCTGACAATGGGATGTTGTTGCAGGTCAGAAGTGACAGATAAAAACAAAGATAATAAAAAGGATCAATGCCCCTAATTTGTTGATTGGCTCTCTGCCCCAGCTAACCACTCAGTCAACGCCCAGGGAAACTGGGCCACAGTTAACTGGGCATTTGGGCCAGAGGCACTAACAGGTGCTTATTGTTTAGTAGTGGATTCCTGGCTGGGCACGGTGGCTCAAGCCTGTAATCCCAGCACTTTGGGAGGTGGAGGTGGGCAAATTGACTGAGGTCAGGAGTTCGAGATCAGTCTGGCCAACATGTTGAAACCCTGTCTCTACTAAAAATACAAAAAATTTAGCTGGGTATGGTGGCGTGCGCCTGTAATCCCAGCTACTTGGGAGGCTGAGGCAGGGGAATTGCTTGAACCAGGGAGGCGGAGGTTGCAGTGAGCCGAGATAATGCCACTGCACTCCAGCCTGGGTGACAAGAGTGAAACTCTGTCTAAAAAAAAAAAAAAAAAAAAAAAGTGAATTCCTGAGAAGCCCAGTGTACTGCTTACCTGTTGTCCCAGCTACCTGGGGGGCTGAGGGAGGATCCCTTGAGCCTAGGAGTTTGAGTCCAGCTTAGGTGACATAGATTCCGTCTCTAAAAAGAAAAAAAATTTTTTTAATTGTTGGATTCCTATGTCCATAAGGAAGACTTCAGGAATGGCAAGCTTCCCTCCTAATTTGGCTCCTCCTGAAGACACAGTATGACCTGGTTTACTTTGGGTTTAACACCCTATAATTACTGTCAGATGAAGAGAGAGAAAGATGCACTGTATTTCTTACTAGTTTCTTTTTCCTTTATTTTTACCTAAAACATAAGCTGAAAAGCAGCAGAAAAAGAAAGAGCCAAATTCAGGTAAGAAAGACCCAGTACTTCAGACTAGCAGTGGGGCAAAACCCCCACGGTTAAAAAGGGATACTAGTTTATTGTGTTTGAGGTTGGAATCACCAAGAGACCAATTAACACCTTATTTTTAGGATTAGCCATTCTGGTATTTGCAGATAGTTTCTTAAGCAGGACTGTTTGGAGTTCACACTGTAGGAGTAACTGAAGTGTTGATAAAAGAGATTCCAGAACAAATAGAGATTTCTACAGTAAAAGCTGGGGAGGTGTGTAGGGCTCCAGTCTTTGGGTTCACAGCTTGGCTCTACATTCATTGCTGGAGGAATCCAAGCCTCACAAAAGACCGCTTTTAAAGAAAAAACTCTTTTTTTCTTAGAAGAACTAGGTAAGTCTAGTTTTTCTCGGAAGTTTGTTTCATTACATGTCTCTGTTACCACCATCCATACAGCTCTGGAGGCCTGCATCTCCCAGGATTTGTAGCTTTCAGCTGCATTGAAAGTTTCTAACTTGGGAATCAAATCTTTGTTGTTGTTCTTGCTTGCAACTCGTTATTTTAAATTGCTTGCATAATTGCCAAGGTAATTTGCATTTAGAAGAGATCGACTGCGTTTTCTTTACCCATCCTTTGCTGTATTCATTTGGTAAGCTTTTAAAGAACAAGTTTTGTAACTGGGAAAGGTGGAGATCAGATACTGAGGGTCAATTTGGTGTCTCACTCAGAACCTGCCTCTCTGCAGCATTATGCTGTCTCCAAGCAGAAATCATAATGGTGGTTTCTCTATGCTGTACTTTCCCACTGCCATCTCCTGGGGAAATAAGGCGGGGGGCCTCTTTCGAAGAACCTATAAAGATTAGATTAATTACTGACCCACAATCCCATTATGTGAACTCATAGAGCCAAAGAACATTAAAGCTGGCAGAGAATAATTTAACTGTATTTTATAGATGAGGAAACTTGGGCCCAGAGAGGAAAAATAATCCCCCCACTTCTCCCGAAGTCTCAAAGCTAATTACCAGCCGAACTGGAACAGAAACCAGGTCTTTTGATTTCTAGATTAGTATTCAACAAGTATTTAACTCATTAATTAGAATTGTCATAGTTCCAACCTGGATGTCTTTCACAATGGGTGGCTCAATTTTTATGTTTGCTGTTAAGATTCCCTCAGGGCTGCCTGGCTAATTTTACTATTATTTTGATTTTACTAAGTCAACATTTCAGATATTTGCAGTCTTCCCATCATCTGTGTCAGAACTATCTGTTAAAAATGCAAATCCCTAGCCTTTTCCAATCTTCACAATCCGAGTCTCTTAGAGTGTCCCCAGGATCTGCATCTTAATATGCTTCCTTGGAAGAGTCCAAGGCGCTTGAGAACCATTTTACTTGGCTCAAAGTCAAGTAAGTTAATGTATTTTGTTGATTTAAAATGTTAAGATTTTGGAAATCAGGTGGCACCTTCTCATCAACGGTTAAGTAAGAAAAAAGTTGTTTTTTACATAAATGTTGTATCTGATAATCAATAGGAACTTAAGAGTTGAGGCCATGTTAAATTTCTCTTTTAAATCCTTTAGTTACTAAAAAGCAAAAACTTAAATTTGTATCTGAATTCAATTTCATGGCATTTGATTCTTTAGCGCTTAAGTTCTTCTTTAGTAGCAAAGAAAAAAATATTGAGAAATTTTATTTTTTCAGGCCATGGGCAGCCTTCAGTGAACCGTTACCTCCACAACTCAAGTCCTAGCCTACAGATTTTTCAAGACTGTTCATTATAAGACTCTGGCTTCTATTTTATAGTTTTTATTTTCTGAGATTACCTCTAAATTTTCGTGTATATTTATTGTAAAATTTCTAACAAAATCTAGAGTGATTAACTCTCTCTATATTCCTGAAAGGGTTAAGGAACTTACCATGCATTTTCTATTCATTGAATACCACTCCCATAGTATTACTATCTAGGTTTTTAGATTTGTCTTTTAAAAACACACATTAGTTACTTAAAGTAAATGGTTAATCATATTTATCAATGATTTCTCAATTTTAGGACTCAGCATGTGAGTGATAACACACTTAGTCTTTTTGCTTGAAAATGATTTATTTTACTCTGCTGTGAATGATAGTTTACCTGGGTATAGAAGTCTTGGTTGATAATTGGCTGTGAAAAGATTCTTCTGCTGTTTTCTGGCACCCATTGCAGATGAGAGTCTAACTGTCTTTTCCTTGCAGGTTAGCTGTCTTTTTGCTTTGGAAGCTTTCAAGATTTTCTCTCTACCTCCAATGTTCAGTAGTTTCACTGAAAAATGTTTCCTGTTATAGGTTCATTACTGTGTATTCTTTTTGGCACTTGGTGTATGTAACCTTTTCTTCTGAGAACATATATCATTTTCTTCCATCTGAAAAGTTCATAGTATCTCTTTGACTATTGATTCACAGACATTTTCCTCTATTTTATTCTTGAACTCCTATTAGACATATATTAGATCTTTTCAATATGTCTTCCACATCTCTTAATTGCTATTTCCTGTTTTTTCCCCCTTCCTTAACTCTTTATTGCTGCATTCTGGGTAAGCTCCTCTATATAACCTTCTAATGTATTAATTCTCTGTCTTGTTATATCCAAGACAGAGTTAATCCTGTTTATTGAGTTTTTCACTCAAATACTGTGGTTTTTATTACCAGAATTTCCAACTTGTCCTTTTCATATCAGCCTGCTCTTGTTTCATTTTTTACTTGTTTTCTTTCACAATTTACTATTCATTTCTACGAATATTCCTCCTTTCTTTTTCTCCTTGATGGTTCTAACAATCCCTATTTTATTTTATTTTTATTTTTCTGAGACAGGGTCTTATTCCAGTTGCCCAGGTCGGTGTGCAGTGATGCAATCTTGGCTCACTGCAGCCTCCACTTCTCTGGCTCAGGGAATTCTCCCACCTCAGCCTCCTGAGTAGCTGGGACTACAGGTACATGTCACCACACCTGGCTAATTTTTTGTACTTTTAGTAGAGATGGGGTTTTGCTATGTTGCCCAGGCTACAATCCCTATTGTAATTTCACTTTCAGGTTCTGCTATTACAGGCATATCTCAGAGACATTGTGGGTTCATTTTCAGTACAATGCAATAAAGCAAATATCACAATAAAGTTAGTCACACAAATTTTTTGGTTTCCCAGTGCATATAGAAGTTATGTTTATACTGTTCTATAGTCTAAGTATGCAATAGCATTATGTCTAAAATTGTATGTCTCTTAATTAAAAAATACTTCATTGCTAAACATGCTAACAATCATCTGAGCCTTCAGTAAGTTGTAATCTTTTTGCTGGTAGAGGGTCTTGCTTTGATGTTGATGGTGGCTGACTGATCAGGGTGTTGGTTGCTGAAGATTGGGATGTCTGTGGCCATTTCTTAAAGTAAGACAACAATGAAATTTGCAGCATCAGTTGACTCACAGAAGATTTTTCTGTAGCATATGATGCTATTTGATAGCATTTTACTCACAGTAGAACTTCTTTCAAACTTGGAGTCAATTCTCTCAAACTTTCCCACTGCTTTATCAACTAAATTTATGTAATACTCTAAATCCTTTGCTGTCATTTCAACAATGTTCACAGCATCTTCACCAGGTGTAGTAGATTCCATCTCAAGAAACCACTTTCTTTGATCATCTGTAAGAAGAAGCAACTCCTCATTCTTTCAAGTTTGATCATGAGATTGTAGCAATTCAGTCACATTTTCAGGCTCCACTTCTAATTCTAGTTGTTTTGCTATTTCCACCACATCTGCAGTTACTTCCTCCACTGAAGTCCTGAACCCCTCAAAGTCATCCATGAGGGTTGGAATCAACGTATTCCAATATCTTGTTAATGTTGATATTTTGACCTCCTCCCATGAATCACAAATGTTCTCACTGGTATCTGGAATAGTGAATCTTTTTTAGAAGATTTTCAATTTACTTTGCTCACATCTATGAGAGGAATCACTATCTATGATAGCTATAGCTTCATAAAATGTGTTTCTTAAATAGTTAAGACTTGAAAGTTGAAACTACTCCTTAATTCATGGGTTGCAGAATAGATATTGTGTTAGTAGGCATGAAAACAACATTAATCTCCTTGTTCATCTCCATCAGAGCTCTTGGATGACTAAGTACATTGACAATGAGCCCTAATATTTTGAAATAAGTCTTTTTTTTTTCTGAGAAGTAGGTCTCAACTGTGGGCTTAACATATTCAGTAAACCACACTATAAACAGATGTGCTGTTTCCCAGGCTTTGTTGTTTCACTTACAGAGCACAGGCAGAGTACATTCAGCATAATTCATAAGGGGTCTAGGATTTTCAAATGGCAGATAAGCATTGGTTTCAACTTAAAGACACCATTTGCGTTAGTGCCTAACAAGGAAGTCAGCTTGTCCTTTGAAGCTTTGAAGCCAGGCATTGACTTCTCCTCTCCAGCTAGGAAAGTCCTAGATGGCATCTTCTTCCAATAGAAGGCTGTTTCATCTCCACTGAAAATCTGTTGCTCAGTGTAGTCACCTTCATCAATGATCTTAGCTAGATCTTCTGGGTAACTTGTTGCAACTTCTATATCAGCACTTGCTGCGTCACTTTACACTTCTATATTATGGAGATGGCTTCTTTTCTTAAACCTCATGAACCAACTTCTGCTGGTTTCAAACTTTTCTTGTGCAGTTCCTCACTTCTCAGCCTTCATAGAATGACTTAAGTGAATATTGTGGCTGGGTTGATTTTCTATCCAGACACTCAGACTTTTTCTATATTAGCAATAAGGCTGTTTTGTCTTCTTATCATTTGTGTGTTAATGGAGTAGCACTTCTAATTTTCTTCAATAACTTTTTCTTTGCATTCACAATTTGATTAACCATTTGGCCTAGCTTTCAGTCTGTTTCAATTTTCAACATACCTTCCTCACTAAGCTTAATCATTTATAGCTTTTGATTTAACTTGAGAGTTGCAGGACTTTTCCTTTCACTTGAACACTTAGAGGCTTTTATAGAGTTATTAATTGGCCTAATTTCAATATTGTTGTGTGTCAAGGAATAGGGAGGCCTGAGGAGGAGAGAGATGGGAAAATGGCTGGTTGGTGGAGCAGTCAGAACATATACAACATTTACCGACTAAATTTGTTGTATATGGGTGTGATTTGTGGCACTCGAAAACAATTACAATAGTAATGTCAAAGATCACTGATCAAGATCATCATAACAGACTAATAATAATGAAAAAGTTTGAAATATTGTGAGAATTTTCAAACTATGACTCAGAGATATAAAGTTAGCACATGCTGTTGGAAAACTGGCATGATAGACTTGCTTGATGCAGGATTGCTACAAATCTTCAATTTGTGAAAAACGAAGTGTCTGCAAAGAGCAATGTAATAAAACGAGGTATGCCTGTATTTCTACTTCATCTGAAATGAATGTATCCCAAATATTGATTTCATTGGCTCCTTTTCTTTTTTTTATTTTTTATTTTTTTTATTTTTAAAATTTATTTATTATTATTATACTTTATGTTGTAGGGTACATGTGCATAACGTGCAGGTTTGTTACATATGTATACTTGTGCCATGTTGGTGTGCTGCACCCATCAACTCATCTCCTTTTCTTAATGTTAGCTTTCTTTAATTGTTTTAGAATTTTAACTTGTGTGATGTACATTTTGAGTGACATCGCACACACTTTCTCTCTTCTTGTTATACCTTTCCCTCCCTGCTTGGCCACAGGGCCCCAGTTCACAACCTGGTTTTATGTTGGTGGCTCTGAACTTTTATCTTGCGATGGTATTCAGATATTACAGATTTAGTCACTGAGTCAGGAGGCAGCTTGGCCCAAGTCTTGGTTATACCTGCTTGTTTCTACTTTTCTAGATGCACATTTATATAAGTCCTAACCTTAGGTAACAGCTGCACCTTTTTTAGGGCAGAAGTTCCCCACCCCATTTAGGTTCAAGCAATAAGCCTGGGCCGGGCGCGGTGGCTCAAGCCTGTAATCCCAGCACTTTGGGAGGCCGAGGCGAGTGGATCACGAGGTCAGGAGATCGAGACTATCCTGGCTAACATGGTGAAACCCCGTCTCTACTAAAAATATAAAAAACTAGCCGGGCGTGGTGGCGGGCGCCTGTAGTCTCAGCTACTTGGGAGGCTGAGGCGGGAGAATGGCGTGAACCCGGGAGGCGGAGCTTGCAGTGAGCCGAGATCACGCCACTGCACTCCAGCCTGGGAGACACAGCGAGACTCCGTCTCAAAAAAAAAAAAAAAAAAAGCAATAAGCCTGGATCCAGGCTCCAACCATCTAGGGCCCCTTTACTCCCAATACTGCAGAGGAGTTATCTTGCCTATCTGTGTGTGTCTCCAGAGCCCACAAGCTCACAGCTTTAGTAACTACTGTGTTATATTTCTGGTCTGTTTCTAGCACATAGATATTTATTTTTCTTTATGTATGTACGGGCATGTGGTTTACTTTTTTTAAAACTTTCTTTTAAATTCGTTCTTAAAATATTTTATTTATAATTGCTAAGTGTTTGGAGTGCAGGTAGTGACTTCAAAGCATGAGCTTACAATGTCATTTTGATCTGCAGAGGCAGGCTCTGGGGATGAAAATAGCAGCAGTTCCTATGATGCCATCTTTGAGACAGCTACCATTACCGCTACTGCTACATTAATATTGTCCTTTGTTTCCCATCTAACAAGCATTATTCTCCTAAAAATGGCTCTGTGTCTGACAAAGCCCATTCACTATAGATTAATTCTCTCTTAAATGACTTTATTAAGCTCATTAATGATTCACTTAGCAGCCACTTTTGTAATAAATTTGCAATATTCTCTAAAGAAATCGATCTGGAGAAATGCCACACTGATTTAGGAAGGAACATGGTTTAAAAATGAGTGAATCATTCTCAAAAGCACACAACATGGCTGTAGAAGTATTTTAATGGGTTTCTATCTTTCCACAGATTAGACTAAGATCCTTTGCCAATAAGAAGACAAACAATAGAAAATTCCTACAGATTAAGAATCCCAACCAAGCTTTCAATGAACTGACTTGCTTCAGCTCTGGGAGAACAGTTATGACATGGTGTTGAATTACATCAACGAGGAACCAGAGGTGAGGCTGGGGTACAGGCGAATTGGGTTTAGAATCACCTTAGCAATGCAGTATGCAAATCATGAAACAGCATAAAGACACATAAATTATGCAAGAATACATAAGGGGTTTCCAGAGAAACCTCAATTTCCATTATTAAAAATGGTGTGGTAAGCAGTCCAAAAAATCATTTTTGGCAGGTCACTATTTTTAACTGAGCTTTGAAGTTCATCTACATTTTTTTTCCCAGCATTACACTTGGTGGTTAGGACCCCTTGTTACAAGGGGCCATATTAACACATGATTGTGGAAATGGACAAAGAAACAATTTTAATTCATATGGTAAGAGACAGGATAAAGATATGCAGGTGAGGAGTTCCCTAACACAGCCTACGAAGGTCAGAGAAGACTTCCTAGAGGAGGTAATGTCAGAGCTAACCTTTCATGGACAAATAAGCATGCATCAGGCAGAATGGGATGGTGGTAGCAGGTAAGAGTAAGGGGAGTTGCAGTATTTCAAGTATGGAGAAAAATGGGGTCATGACATACATGATTATTACTTTTCAGATGACCAGCATCTGCACCCTCTTCCTTTTTTATGTTAACATGGTGCTTTTATTTTTTAAATTTGTATTATTTATATACAATATTTGCACATATTTATGGGGTACATGTGATATTTTGTTAAATGCATAGAGAGTATAATGATCAAATCTGGGTATTTGGGCCTTCTATCACCTTGAACATTTATCATACCTATGTGTGGGGGGCATTTCAAGACCTCTTGTATAGCTATTTTAAAATATACAATACATTATTGCTAACTATAGTTATGTTACTCTGCTATGGAACATTAGAATTTTTCCTTCTGTGTAACTGTATGCTTATACCCACGAACCAACCTCTCTTCATCCTCCCACCTCCAACCCTTCCCAGTTTACCCCCTTCCTTATATCACACCAACTTCCTTTGGGGAATTACCTCTTCCTGTACCTGTCCTCCATAGTTGTATTATTGGCAGGAGGTAATGTAGGGGTCGCTTCCTCCTACTAGGGAGTTGAAAGAATCACATTCTCCTTTAGCTGACCTCAGTACAACCATGGTACCAAGCTGCGGTATACTACTCAGATGCTTTTTGCTGAAACTTTGCTCTTGATCCCAGGCTGGACAGAAGCCTGGTAGGAAATTCATTGCAAGGTGGCAGGCCTACTGGACTGTTCCTATCAGAACATTTTTGCTATACTTTCTATTTCTTCCCAAGTGTCCATGGTTCCTGCCTTTTCCCAAGCTTTTCGCAAGCTTCAACCCTCAAATCATTTCAGTAAATACTATTTTGTTTTTAAATGGTAAAACTATTTCATTTTGGGAGACAGCAAGAAGTTCAGCATGGTGGAGCGCAGCACATGCATAGTGGTAGAAGGAAGTCGTTGAGAGGCTAGAGAGATGGGCGGACTAGAAAGTGTCTCTCTCTCTCTCTTTTTTTTTTTTCCTGAGTTGGAGTTTTGCTCTTGTTGCCCAGGCTGGAGTGCAACAGCACAATCTTAGCTCACTGCAACCTCCACCTCACGGGTTCAAGCTATCCTCCTGCTTCAGCCTCCCAAGTAGCTGGGATTACAGGTATGTGCCACCATGCCCAGCTAATTTTGTATTTTTAGTAGAGACAGATTTCACCATGTTAGTCAGGCTGGTCTTGAACTCGTGACCTCAATTGATCCACCTGCCTCGGCTTCCCAAAGTGCTGGGATTACAGGCGTGAGCCACTGCACCTGGCCTAGACAGTGTCTTGTATGACATCAGAAGCATCCCAATTTTATTCCCTAGGCATTGGAAAGCCTCTGAATGATTTTAAGCATGAACAGATTCATATTATTTTTGTGGCAGCTCCATGGTGAACTATTTGGAAAAGGGTGTGAGAGAGGACAAGGCTCAAAGCAGGGAGAGGGTACTTAGAGAAGACGCAGTAATCTAGGCAAGAAGGGACGATGGCTTGAGTTTCCAGGAGTTGGACTACTCAGTAGTTGGACTATTCATGAGGAAGGGTGAGATGTGAGCCCTTGCTGTCAGGTATGGAGAGCTAAAAGAATAATGGATCCATACCAGAGATAAGGAATATAGAGAGAGGGACAGGAGTGTGTGTGTGTGTGTGTGTGTATGTTAGCTGGAGGGCTCAGCTTTGGTTCCAGTTCCTAACTTTGGACCAGCAACAGCTCTTCTGCTGCCACACCAGTGAGGAAACATCTGTCTACCAACTAAGATGCTGACTAACCTGGTCCAGGTTGGTGATTTCACCTGGGCAGGCCTGGTCTGAAAGGTGGGCCTGGAGCCTAGGGAGAGAGACAAGCTGGGCATGATGGGCTGTGGGTTGGGAGAGTTCCAAGAAGTTCAGACGTAAGAGGCCAGGCCTCCTGCCAATACAAGTGCTGTTTCCTCTTCTCCCTCCTTTATCCCTCTGGTGCCCCCCAGGGCTGGTCTATCTTGTTCTCTTTCTCCCTCCCCACACCTGTTGCCTCCTGCAAGGTTTCCATCTTTCAATGATCCTCTGAAAGGTTCCTCTGATAGTGGAGAGAATGGTTTTGGTTTAGAATTAGACTGGGGTCCACACAACAAGTGTTTGGCTTTCTTGGTGGCAGAAGTGGGACTAGGAAATAGAAGTAACATCTGGTTCAAGCTTGTTTATTGAGTTGATTGGTGCCAAGGTAGTCTAAGGCACCAGACCGTGTGACCATACTTTGCCTACCTTTACGGAGCTCACAGCCTGAGATTTCTTTACATTCTGGCAAAGTAGTTACTGGTAAAACTCAGTTTTGCAGAACATGGCATTCTAGAAGCACAGGGCAAAATTACAGTTCCAAGGGAGAACTGTAATTCTTTTGGGGAAAAGTCTATGGGGAAAAAGAACTTCCCTTGTCTTCTTCCTCATTTCCTTGGAAGTAGAAAAGAGGTACTCAAAATGCTCAGAGCACCTCATCTCTGGACTTTACCATAAAATGCTTTGATTCCAGGATATCATTTCATGTCAGCTTTGGCTTATGGATCCAGGAGGAACATGGGGTGGTTGTAGACAGGAAAGGGCAGATCCTAAAGGTAATTTTAAAGCAGGGCAATCTAGTTTTTAACATGAGGTGTGTTTTCTCCAACCTTATTTTTCTTTGGACTTCTCATGACAATAGATAATATGCTTATCATTTTGAATAATATTTGCTTATCATTTATATCTTCTCCTGGATTAAGAACTTCTTGAAGACATGACCTCGGTTTTACTCACTTTGTTACATTGTAGGGCCTCATCCAGAGCCTAGCACCCAATAAAAAAGCTCAGCAAATGATTGTGAAAAAGATGTGAATGATTTTCAGAAACGTCCCTATTCTTCATGCTTCCCTCCCTGCCTCCCTTTTCTGGAAGGCCCTCGCCTATTCAAAGTTAAGGATAAGGGAGGCAAAGGAGAGCATATTCAGGGATCTAACACTTCCCTACAGGGATCTGTATCCCTTACCTACCTCTGACTCTTCCCCACCAGGAAAAGAATCTATTATTCAGTGAAACCTTTGAAATGTATTAACATTAAGGTCTTAATGACTAGTAATGGCATGCTTGCTTATCAAAACAAACCCTTTTATTGATAATATAAGGCTAAATCTTGATTTTTTTCTTTTTCTGATTCTCCCCATTTTCTCTTTCTTTCTGATTACCTCTGCATCTCTTCCCAATCACCTACTCCCCAAGAGACTGAATAATTTTCAGCCTCTCTTGGTTTTTAGTAAACTCTCATTTAGGGCTTGTTTTAAGAGACAAGCAATGGTCTGAATCTATATTAAGAAGTCTAAGAAGATAGGACAGTCTGTAAATGAATTCAACTTTTAAATAAAAGAAAGCAGCAAGTCTTCCAAGGGACAAAAGAAAGGGAAAAAATCTGGGCTTACGCACCTGCAGCAAGCCCAGCCAATGTGTGGCTACGCTGTCGCGGAATCTTAGAATCACTAGTGTGTGCTGTACTTTGATGTTCACCTAGCTTTTGTGTGTGCTTTATTTCCCTTTCTAATTTCTCCTTAGAATCTTAGCAAAGTTCTTTTGAAAAGCCCACCATATGTCAGCTGAACCAAAAGAAGGAGAAGAAAGGGAGATTTGTGTACATTTAGATGAGAAAACAAGATTGGTGGTAAGAGTCTAATATAGCCCAGGGCTGGGATTTCTAATTTTGGGGGGTGCCAGACTCCTCTGAGAATCTTATGAAAACTATGGACTCCTTTCTTAGAAGAATGTACATATGCACAAAAGTTTGTGTCCAGTTTTAGGGAGCCAGAAGGCTCTGTAGATCCCAAGTAAAGAACCTCTATCTTGGCAGGAGGAGAAACTGTGGGTGAAAGCTGATATTGGTAGAGGCCCTCATTCCTTCCAACCAGAATCAGTTCTTTTCTGAGCTAATTTTTATCTTGTCCCTTGGATTATTTTATTCCATCAAGATCACTGTAATTAATAGGTTACACTTACTATTTGTTAGCATGTGATCTCACATAATCCTGCCAACAACCTCACGAGGTAATTCTATTATTTGCATTTTGTAGATGAACCTGAGATTTAGCAAGGTTCAGGAACTTGTCCTCAGGTCCCACAGCAATTAATTCAAATCCGGACCATGCCCTTAATCCCTATGCTAAACTCATCCATATATTTTTGTGTTCTGTTGTTTTTAAGGATGAGATTCCTTGATTCCTTCACACATCTCAATTATCAGGAACAGCAAGGTGGCCCCAGTTTTACAACCATGTACAGATGCATCCATTTCAATGAGTGTCATATTCTTAACAGAGCAAGCTGTTTTCTGAATGTTCAACTGCCATTCTATTCGACATTCTGGGCAAACCCATCCCTGTAGGGACTCTTTTTCCAATAGTGAGAACAAAGAGTTAAGTGCTTGTCTGAGGCAAAGAACATGATATTGTTCTCGTTAGAGGACAACTGATGTCCTTCAGTTCCATAAGTATTATTTGAGCACCTACTATAAGCCAGGCCCTATGTTGGT